CGCAGCCGCTCACCTCAGGCGACGGCGACCCTCTTCAGCATCCGTCCTTCCCGCCTCCGACCCGGCGCCAATCAGCTGACAGGAAAGGGCCGTGGCTCGCCAATCAGCAAATAGCATACTGAGCCGCTTCCGCCTTCCACCTCTGCGCCATTAGAGCCAATCACGGAGGGCCTTGTTGGCTTCCGCGTTGCACTCGTTGCTGGGCAACCACGCGTTTACCGTGGTGGAATTGCATCGCTAAATACTTTTAACACTTTTTATTACTTACCTTGGTTTAAGCACAGGAAACACTGTACGGGGAACTAAAAAATGAGGAAGTGGTTTCAGTAAAGTCAGTGGCTTTTAAATACTGCCACACACGAGAGCCCCTGGAGGAGAAGGCCTCGGCCCGAGGGCGGCCCCGCCGGCCCCGCGTCCTTCCGTGTCCGCGAGGGTCTTGTGCGCCCCGGCGGAGCCGCCCTCCGGTTAAACCGGGTCCGACAGTTAAAATCAATACAGGCAACTCCCTCTGAAATTAAGTCATACACTTGAGGTTTTTTATTTAAATACCACTACGGCACATAAAATTACACTTAGAGGAAAAAAAATACGTACGTGTAGATTATTTACATATTTTACATCAAGATGACAAAAATATTATTGGTAGCCTGATGGTGTTATCAGATGGTTACAGTACGCTGGTAATCCTGGAACGCAAACCCAGGCGTGTTGGGCAATTCAGTATCGGCCTTCCTAAATCACCAACGTAGGCAGAAGACAAGAGCTATGCAAGGCTTTCTCAAGGCCACACTAAAGAATCAGACCATTATTTCTAGAATATAAACTGCTTTGAATTGAAAAATATTTTACTTATTTAAGGATCCTGGATGCTGTCATTGAAGAAAAGAGTAAGCACTGGATTGACAAGTTTAGCAATTCAAGTGTGCTGAAGTACTACATTCACTTCTGGCACAACAGCCAAATCTTAATTTTCTTTCTCTGCTGCAAAAGCATGTGCTGCCTCACATGAAAGCTTCTGCAACCTCCAAGAAAATCCCAAATATTACACCACACACGCCCTTCTGCAATGCCGCAAAACACATCTGTCAAGGCTAAATCCTGCAGCTTTTGTATATAAAAGAACAACCAACTTCATGCATGAAGCACAAAGGATTCAGCCTTCTTGTTCACTGAGCTGCACGTAACCACTTTGGTTTGGCTGAAACCTGTCATTCCTTTCATTATAGGGAAATTTAGCTTCTGTCACCGTCACCCTCAACACCAATTGCTTTTTTTAATCTTATCCTGACAATAACTTAAGATACCTTTGCACTTATTTCTTGAAGTCTTTCTCATCTCTTTTAAACTAAGTGATGTTAAAAAATGCTAAACCATCTGAGCTGCAGGAGAAACACATATTCTTTAAACATTACATTTATACAGCTCATCTTGTAGTTCTAGTACTTTTTTTTAAAGAAACTTTTAGACCAGTTTCAAACTTTTAATGAAGGCTGGCTGATCTTTAAATGAAATTCCTGATCTCATGAACTGGAACTTTGACCAATGGTTTGAAACACACAAAAAAAGAAAAGGAAAAGCATTTTCTTAGTGCTCAATGTGATGGTGCAATTACACCACTTTTTCAAGTCTTCCTTGGAGTATTTTATTCCATCTTGCTCTGCAAGGCTCTGGAACAGAAGTTCATTTAACTTACGCAAAGCACTACATTCTCAAATTTTTCTTACCCATCATTTTGCTGTTTGCTCAACAAATTTAAGTATTCACTTTTCAGAGTGTTATAAGACCGTTTCAGGTGTGTTGCTGTATCACTTCAGAAACCGAGCAAGCTTGAAAATTGTGCTTGGTTTCAGTGGAAGTTACTGACTGACCCCATCAGCCTCAAAAATTTTCACTGGAAGCAACATAAGCCATAACTGAAGCAAATGAATGAAAAACATGGGACTTCCTGTGCTCCAGTTCCTCAATCCACTTCTGCAGCTTTCTCCAAATTTAGGCACCATAGACTGTGGGACTAGCTACAGTACAATTTCATTTGCATTCTTCCTAAATTCCACTTACGCTCATGTTAATTATTTCAATGATAGTATTTTCAACACACTGACATAACCGAACATCAGGGTCCATGCTTGCAATGTCCCTTGAACAACTTTTGTTAGGTGAATCTTTACAAAGTCCTGACACTTCATATGGTTTCTCCTTTAGTTGCTGGAGACCTAGAAAATTAAGTAGAAGAAGCAAAATACATCTAAATAAATAAGTAGGGTTTTTTAAGTGTTATATTACACCCATAACGCAAACATGTATGCTGTGAAATTGCAAATTTGAGCCATCACTATTTCATGTACCAGGCTTAACTCCACAGGTTATTTCTAGAGACACTACAACATTTCTTTTTAATTTACCTATGTCTGACTCCTTTGGGTTTTTTTATATTCCCTCTTACTTCTTTTAACATAAATATTCTAGCATAGATGGCATGAGGGAACCTTGTATCACATGAACAGCACATTTGTCTTTAGACAAAAAAAAGAGACAAAAACATGCTCAAGGTCAAGTGACACACTTAAACAGTTAATACATTTCCACAATCACTATATATTTATCCAACCATGCTATCACATGTGTAAGACTTCAGGTAGCTCATTTGACTTTGTATTTCCAACAGATTAGGACGATTTATACGGCCATTATGCCTCAGCTGAGGGGCTGAAACGTCCTTGTGTTCTACAAAGCCAATGGCCTTTGCTCACGTCTTTAATCCTCAGGCTACAATGGTAAATTCTATGCACAACAATTGCACGCAGGGATACATCTTGAAATGATACAAGCAGGGAAATAAAACAGAAGGAAGGAAGTACAAAGTTTAACAAAAGGGGTATTTTCAGCCCCGTTAGCCTCTAAATTCTCTCCTTTAATCCAGTAAGTCCACCTATCCCTATTCCTTCTGTATTTACAGGACAACAGTAGTAAATTTCATATTGCATTCCAACTACACTCAAACTTATGAAACATTAATGTAATCTTCTCCCTGGGATCACGACATTACTTTTGAAATACAAGGTGTTTTACTTACGTGTAATAATTGGGTCGAAGTCTCTTGTCTGTGTAGCAACATCAGAAGCACAAACTTGTCCTATCTGTATCAGCAGAGACATAATATCCTCATACAAAGGAGGAAAGGCTTGACAGAATGACACCAAACAAGGCAGGGTCGGCATAAAAAAAGCATAGCGCTTCGACTGGGTTAAAACTATAAAGGAAGAGGAAACGGTTAACTAAAAAAGGAATTATCACAAAAATCCAGTCAAGAATTATTCTTACTTTTACAACTGTAATTAACACAGTCACATTTAGACAAAATTGCATTCAACCTAGATAAATAATTCTAATTTACACAACAATGTACTCAGGGGTTGCTGGAGTGCTTACCTGTGAGTAGGGTTCCCATCACATTGATAGCTAAACGAGCCACGCTGAGAGATTTAGGTAGTGCATACTGGATACACAAAAATGAAAGTAACTGGATGGCAAATATCTGTTAAGTAGGTGAAAGGCAAAAGAAAAATAAGCAATAAAGTGACAGATTGCTTTGCACTTTCTATCCAAAGCTCCTCACCTAACTTCTGAGTTAGTAAATATCCTCTATCTTACCAATGAGGAAATTAAAGTGAGAGAAGCCTTAATAATAGTTATTTCGATTTTTTTCTGCTGACATTAAGGAAAAAAACCCCACACATATTTAACATTAATTGAAGTACCAACGTTAGTGTTTCAGAATCTCCCCCACAGACACAATTTGTTCTGACACTAACGATGAGCAACAAAGCAACACACAATTTACAATATAACCCTTGTAAAAGCTGTTTAAGGTCTGAGGTGTTCTAGTTTTAACTTTACTTGTGTCCTCTCATCAGCAGTAACTTAGTATTTCAGAAGGGATTAAATAAGAGCAACTATAAAGTTGGCTTGATATAGAAAACAGGAATCTTTAGCCCAACAAATCCCAGTTACCTACAACTATTCAAATCTGTAATCTCCCTTTGTCACAGTATACCAAATCAGAGTCTACAAATTGCTTTACAAAAATAAACGATTATTTGCCATTGTTCTTCACAATCATCATGAGAAGACCTTCAAAAGTACTGGTGAAACATTTGACAACCAAACTCTTGACTCCCCTTTTGCCGAGCCTTTAGTGAGAAGAAACTACCACCCTTCAGATTCAAATAGCATAACTTTTGAGGAAAGCCTCACATGTCATTCTAGCTGGCTTTGTTCTTGCAGACAGACTAGCGAAAGAACCGGTAAGACAACTGGCAAAGGAGAAATTTTAATTGATTTATAATCTTGTCCCTAGCTTGCTTCCAGAAACAGTAGTAATGTTCCCTGGAAAAAGACTTAGTAGTCAAACTTTTCATCAGAATGAATAAAATTTTGATCTTAAGGCTGCTTCATCTGTTCCACAGAGTATCTTCGAAAAAAGGTTTTCAAAATTTAAATCTTCATAGAAGTTCCTGTAGCTATAAAGTATCAGATAAAAACTAAGTAGGCAAAAATTTTGCCAACTGATTTCTGCTCAGTTTAAAGAATCAATGAAAGTCATTATTGAAAAGCACTTTTATTCATGTTCTGGAAGGTAATATTGAAATTTATGAGTATTTCCTAAACGAGTGTATTGAGACATGTTAGAGGAGTTGTCACAATCCCTGATTTGAAGGGGATTTAAAGGCCGGGCCTTTAATTTAAGGTAAAAGTGCTACAGATATTACCTTAATATCCCAGGCAAGTTAGAACAGGACTTCTTTTAGTGATCCTTTTATTTTTCCCCCCTCAATCGATACTTCATCAGGGTTAACTACTTAAGGTGATTCTCAAACCAGATGACTGTACAGTACCTGTTTTTCAAGTTCAGGCTGGGCAATGAGCTCTGGTATGAAATCCAGACAGATGTGCATCGACGGAATCCCTGCCACTGTCAATGCCAGAAGTTCACATGGATAACCCTGTGTGATTAAGAAAACACAAGTCAATGTGTCAAAGGTGTTTTACAAATTCTGCTTCAACTAAGATTTAAAATTAGATCTGCATTAACGCTTTTTTCAAAACTAATATAATTGTAAATCTCTTTTGTTCAGAATTATAAGCAACAGGCCTGTACGCCAAGGCAAGAGGCAGGCTGGGTGACAAACTCAGGGTCTGAATCAGTTCCTTATCCTCAATACTGAATGTATTATTTGCATAGAAACTCTCCCTCCACCCCTCACAGTAAACCAGATTGCAGTGACCCTTTTCTTCTGTGTCTTTCCCTTGTGTTCTAAACTTCACCATAGGCCTCAACTTGCTTATTTCACAACTGCACCATTATGGCTTTTTTAGCACTTAATCAGTTCCAGGTCAAGGCAAATTAACTCCTTTTAAAGAGACTGCCATCTGGCAATGAGCAATTTAACACACACTAAAACCAAACACATTTATATTAAAAAATTTGCTCATCTTTCCCCTCCCCTTTTTTGAAGGCATACAGTTGCTTTGGCAGGGGCAACCCTTCTCCTTTCACTCTAAAGAGAAAAACTGTGCCCTAACAAAAAGGAAAGATAAGACGATATTTACATTTGAAGCCAAATGACAGTTTTGAATAATGAGTATACTAATTTTAAAACATGGCCACAAAAAAGCAACCCACAAAAGATGTGGAACAAGTAATTAAAAGATGATTAGGCCAGTTTTCCTTGGCCTAGAATGGACAAACTATTTTGGTACAAGAAAGGGCAGAGGCACAAAGAAAGCATGTGTTCAACAATACAGGTATAGTTTAGGTCATCCCTTCTCGGCTACAAAACAGAGTCCAGGCACTGAAATATGGAGGAAGTGTAGGTACTACAAATTTGGCGAGACGAGAAGCAGAAAAGCAGGCCGTTACAATTTCTGAGGAACAAAACAACCACATTCAGCATCCTTCAACCACTTCATCTGGCTCTTTCTTAACCAGAGGAATCATGAAAGAACTGAAATAGTGCAAAGCAGACCTGGAAATGAACTAGTTTGACTATGTTGGGATCAGCTATATACATCTGATGCAGCAGACAGCAGATCAGACACTGGACCTCTCGAAGATTACACAGCAAGCTATCTTCTTCTTCTAGTTCAGGACTCTTAGGGCCTGTGGTACTATGAACACTCTTTAGCAAACTGTGGGTATTACTGCTCTGGGCTTTCTCTTCTTCTGTAGGTAAGCAGATCTCCAGAAGAATCTGCACAGCAGCACTGTCCTGCGAAGAAAATAAGCAACAGAATATGCATAAAAAACCTCAATGAGATTAAAGAAATCAAATACAAAGTAATGACAATTTAACAAATGGAAGACTGTCAGGTGGCTAGAATTTCTAGCTATAGGGTTTTTTTATACAGAATTAAAACAACTCAGTTCAAGAATCATAAATCCTGCAGAACATTAAAAAAACCCAACACTTTATCTGAATCAAGACTCGAAGAAAAAAAGCTTAAAGCCAACACATCATCATCATCACAGATCAAAGGAGTAAATTCAACAGAATCTTGTATTGTTTCAAAATAAATATCCAATGGTTCCTTAAAGCACCCAGATCAGACAAAATATGCACGTGGCCGTGTAGTTCACAGTATTCAGGAGAGACCACACTACTCATTTAAATAGAAAACTTCCTATTAACTCAAAAATAATCTCTTAATAAGGACTATATATGTGACATTCTTCCAGACAGAGGTAAGAAGAGACTGTCTGTGAAACAGGATTACTCAAGAATTTCCATATGTCAAGCTAAGCAAGTTAACCATTCTTCAGCCTCACACTTTACAATGCTGGCTGCTTCTCTTAAATAACGTAGTTCAAATGATCACACATAGGTCTGTCACATTTATTCATGTTTCACTGCTCCAAATCTAAGTACAGAAAGAGCCTCTGGATTAACACAAGCAACAGGGCAAAAGGGGTAGTAAGCAGAACTCTTCTGTTCTAACTAACAGAAAAGAACACCATCAAAGCAGTTAACCAACACAATCCTTCAGACTACAAAACAGAAGACTGAAATATTTAACAATCTGAACACAGAGGCGGTTTTCTTTTTCATGGTAACAGAAGTCAGTTTAAAAAAAAAAAGCAAAAAGGTCTCCTTTTTTAATTTCCTGTTTCTGTATTTCTGTTTTATCATTGTCTTTCCTCACATCATTTAATATCCATTTCTTTCCCCTTACCTGAGCAGCAAGCAATGCATTTTTTAATTCTTCCCTTGTAACTTCTGGGGCCTCTGGACCCATTGCATTGTTTTGGGATGGCCTAATGTCCTGCTCTGCAGTTTCCTTCAGGTGAGAATTGAGGTAAGCTTTTGAAGCAAGAAGATACCCGTTCAACATGTGCAAAGTTATATCCATCAGAGGAGGACTCCTGATACAGGAACACGTGATAAAATAAAGGCATTTCAGTAGGCAGAACAGTAAGACAGTGATAATATGAACAAACTAAAAGCACTCCTCAAAGGCTCGTTTGGTTGTAGCATGGCCCATACTAAAGCTGTTTTCCCCAACGCAACAAAATACTAAAGGTTACAATCCTGCTGCCCTGCCATTCAGTCCTGCTTCTCTCATGCAGACACATCTATGCGTACACTCTATAAAACTAAGGAGCTGCTGAAAAGATTGATTTCTGATGAACAAAGGAAACCCGAAAAGGGTCAGCTGTACGTGAAATAAAGAAAAATAATTATCTGAATGACGGGGAAAAATAAGGCAGACAAGCTCTGAACTGCTTCCACAATACTAAGATGATAGTTTTCAAATCACATTGCATTATAAATCTCTAACAGTTTTAGAAATGTAGGATTTTCAATTTGCATCCAGGGCTGAAGGGACATACATTTAAATATTTCACCTACGGGTTGGGGATTAAAGATGTCATCAACAGAAACCTGAAGTCTAGCAGAGTTGTAGCAACTCACATGAAAATTGGATTCATGGCTCAATTGCTAAAAGGCAAGTGAGGACAGATGCATACAAACAAGAACTTGAAGAACAAATCAAGTTGACTATTAGTCATTTATTATGAACAAAAGGATAATAAAAAAGGGGAAAAATAAACCACAACTGACAGATCATATGAAAAAGAATACACAAGGAATAAAGCTAGGGGCTAAACTACATTTAAAATGATTAACCGTATTTTTTTAGGATAAGGGATGCAATTTTCTTTATTACTATAAAAAAGTAAAGTTATAATTTAGAAATTCTGACCTCTGTTTGCATTATTTCACATTCTCCGTAAAAGCTGGTCCACTGCTACTGATTATGATCATTTTCACTACTTAAATTCTCAGTTTATTCTTCTGCATCAGAGCTATAAAGCAGCATTACACATCCTCCTCTGTCATCACTGTATCTACGGGAACTAATTTCTAAGTACTACTAAAAGACTTTTGTGGGAAATTAAGCAAATCTACCTTTGTCATATCCATCAAGCACCCACTGGCAGAAACTGTTACCCCAAAAACATGGAATACTTACAGGCCCATGAGGGATGGCAAAAGACAATGTGAAGTGGAAGGATGTTACAGCTACAACCTCAACCACCACCACCACCATGTGGCAGCAACCATTTTAAGCACGCTGCAATGTCTATTTAGAACAAATTCACACACACAAATCTAAAATGGATGACCTATGTACAAATCCCAAAGTTCCCAAAATAGAGCTGGGTGTAAGGTTGTCCAATAAGACACTCAGCTGGACAGTATAACATGCTGAAACAGCATGCACAGCTCACCTCAGACCAACAAGCTTAATACAAAACAGATGGAACTTACAAATTCAGATGATTAGTTTGAAAATATGTTTTGAAGTACTGAAAGCTTTTAGCAGTTTTCTATGAGACAGCTTTATGTTTAGCATTCACTATGTACCAATGTAAGTACCACAGAACATAAAAAGCTAAAGGAGGGAGATGCTTACCTATGAACTCTCTGATCGCATCTTAGTACAATCAAAGGATCAATCATCAGATCATTCTGAGTGTACTTCTGCTGTCGGACTATTTTTACTGAAGGCTGCAGAGCATTAACAGTCATCACCCATAGCCTAAAACAAGATTATTTTTACAATTTTTTAACAGATAATCCGTATGAGAAAAAGGATCACATAAGCATCTGGACACTCACTTATCTCAGTCAGCTGAATTTTTCTAGGCCTATCAAGGAGCAAAAACCCCATACCTCACTTGCAGCCCTTGATGTTAAGCAAGATATAGTTAACTTACACTCACTGCAATTATAGCAACTAAACTGTTTTCGCTGCAAGAGGGCATCCACTTCCTCAGAAAAGGCATGGTTCTTACCAGAGTCAGTTCATGTTTCATCAGTACTTGGTCATAAACAATGTACACTATAACACCATACTCCTATATTTTAAGTGAATGGGTGACTTCCTTTCCCCTGAGAACAAGTAGTACCTTCTTTTTAAATGCAAAGGTTAAAAATCTCAACAAAGCAAAAATGAACACAACTCCAACACATTCTATTCAGTCCCAAAGGCATTGTGTCATTATTTTTGAAACAGAAGGTGGCATTCCACCTATCTGCAACAACAAACTAAACAGTATTTTGAGCCTACCTTCTTGGCATCACAGTGTTAAGAACCATCCAAAGTTTATTGACGGTCTGAAGAATCCTCCGAGGGACTCCAGCATTCAGCAAGCGATTCATATTTGATGTCAATACTTCTGCATATGGGATCAATTCACCAGCTGAGAGAAGTGTTAAATGTTCCAAGATCTGCATCAGCTGCGTATGATTTCCAGGCAGCATGGAAAATGCTATAAAATAAATACAATGGGATCTTGGTAAAACTGGACTTTGACATTTTTTCTAACTTGGCAGCAGAACGTTTTCATTATACAAATGCAGTATGAGGAAATTAATTAAATGGCTACATACTTCCAAATCCACTGTATTCCAACCAATTTGGAAAGAACACTGCTTACTTCAGATGAAGTTATTTACCTTCTTGGAGCTGTTTGGGAGAGTGATTCTTCGCCATGTTTGTAAGAAGCATCCTCCTCAGTAAGGCATCAGTGCCTGTGATCTGTTCCTCACAGATCCAGTCTTCCACAATGCAGAGGTGTGGATAGTTAGTTGCAAGAAGGCGTAACAGTGCAGAATGCAAGCCTTTATGGGTATTAAGAAAGTATACATCTTAGATTTGAGTAGCTACATCTTTCACCTGAGCATAATTGTGCCTATCATTTCAACAACAGACCTTAACTGAATCACTGCCAAGAAGTTCAATGAGCTTGCATGTTTATAATCCAATATTCCAACCCCAACTGAAACGAAAAGTTACCTTTTGGAAAGGCGGGAGGACCCTAGAGTAACTCTTAAACTCAGTCTGGAATAGTCAAAAATTCTCAGGCGATTCCTACTCTAAAACCTACCCTAGGTAGGTAAGACCTACCCTAAAAAGAACTGCCTTCCCCAAAATTCCAGTATTACTCTTCAAACATATCTGTAATCTCACTAGCTACTACTGACAGATTTTAAACAAAAGAGAAAGGAAGGCACACTGTGAAACAGACAATAGCCACAGAGCTGGAAACACACTTAGCCTTCCTTCTTCACGCACATTAGGTTTTCACACACAGATATACCTCCCAGTTCCTGCTGCAGTCCTTGTGCCTGCCGGATCAGGAACTTGATTGGAATCTGATCCATTAACGCTGAAGAGTAAGACTTGGGTTTTTTCTGCATGGCAGCTATAAGGGAACAGGACAAGAAACCACGCATAACCCTTCCAGTTGGAAAAGATGATTTCCCCAGCCGAATCAGTAAAGAAAATGTAAAGCACCTGTCTCTATATTATCCAGGTAAAACAGAGAAAATCCCAAATAATACACCTCATTCCTGTTAAAGTATTAAATTAAGCTCTTCAGGAAAGCATTTCTGTGAACATTTCCATTTAACATTTTCCTAGCATTTAGATTTGTTCGCAAGATCTCCGTAATATCTTTGACCAAGTCCAACTGATTTCAAGATCGTAGCTCAAATCTACACTTTATTGAAGGTTTTTTATTCTTAAAAAAAAAAGGTTATCAGTTGGTACACACAATTCAAACTGCTGGCACAAGCAACACCCTGTAGTGAGGTGGAAGTTATAAATGCAGGAAGAACCGTAATTGATTTTGGAGTATTTCAGTCTTTCTTGAATATCATGAAGAAAATAGCACTGATGAATGCTGGAAACTTTGCACCCTAAAAAGGGCAGTTAAAAACACTCACCAGATATAAACACTATGTTTTCACTGAAATTAAACTCTGTCAATAAACTACACAACCTTCTTTTCGAATTGATTTAAAGCCTCCATTTCAAAGGTAAAAAGAGACAATTCAATATTGTCAAGTATAAAATTGCCAACCCAAAGAAATGTATGTGCAAGTCTGATGACACGCCAATAAATGAAGATCTGAAGTAATTAAGAAGTCTTTGTTAATTTGTTAATTGCTGCTATATTTATTAGATGGTCATAAACATTTCTGGTAACTTTTTGGCCAGTCTGGACCTTTTTTAATCTGGAAAACAGATTACTCCACTAGAGTTTTAGCAGAAACTTTATCTCCTGAATTTCCACAGTAAGGTCAGGTTGGATGGGGTGTTGAGCAAGTTGGTCTGGTGGAAGGTGTCCCTGCCCATGGCTGGGGAGTTGGAACTGGATGATCTTTAAGGTCCCTTCCAATCCAAATCATTCTGTGATTCTATGATTTATTACAAGAATCTAAACTTTTTATGCTGTGCTTGAATGTGACAGCAACTTAAATTTTGGTTATTCTAAGAATTCCTCTCTTTGCATCTAACTTTCAATCTGTTTTCCACTGATGCACTGACATATACCTAGTATCTTTGTGTTTGCCAGAAGTGCTTCTTCGTACGACAGGACATAGTAGAGGACAAGCAATTGTGTTGTGATGCTGTATCGTTGAGTAAGACGAGTATTTTCTCCCTGTACATAAAACCACATACAAAGGTCATGTTGCATTCCTGATTCTTGAGAACAAAAATTTGGATTTACCTGCAAATATGAAGAAAGATAAGGCAGTAAGCCTTGTATAAAAATATTAAGCCATATGAGGTCCAAACTGAAAGCTGCGGGGAACTTTTTTTTTTTATTTTAAATGAACTTCAAACATAAAATGTATTTTTGGTATCTTGGGACACTAACAAGGGGTAATCCCAGGAGTCCAAGGCAAGTCAGTGCTCGCCACTTATTCTACATGTGTCCAAGTGACCATTCTCATATTCTATCAAAATGACAATGTTTCTTTCAAAAACATCTAGAGTGCTTCAGTTAAGCAGTATTTTTACCTAACAAGATCAAGTCAGTACAAAAATTACACAAATCCTACATGAACACCTCCACTTTTCATTCCATGAAGTGCTTTTCTTTGCATTTTTTACAGCATGAGTCAGTGAGTTCCCAAGGAAAAGGGCAAAACAAGGACAAACAGCAATTCTCCTAAAATTCTGACTAGCACTAACAAGATTCACTTCAAAACGCATGACCATCACTGGAGTAGGAGGCAGTTTACTATACAGACATTAAAGACAAAAAGTGAGGCAACTTACAGAATCTGCATCAAGTGTATGTACAAAATACTGAACCACATGTTCACGTTAAAGTCCATGAAAGAAGCAAACAAATCACTTACCCCAGAGAGTCCTTGAAAAACATTCAGTATCTCCTGTTCCGTGACAGGCTGATTTGTGGCCTCTGGGTTGGATTTAGATGCAGGAGTAAGAATAGAATTAATGTAGACATCAATAAGAGGAAGCAACTGAGGATGGAGTGGAGTGGTGGTTTCACAGAGCTGTCGATAGATCCAGTCCTAGGGAAAAAAAATGCCATTACATGTTCAGTTTCAAAGCTGGAGGGCAATTTTTTTTGTCTGCAAGTACATCCCATTTTAACTAGTTACAAAAAATGTAACTGACTGAGGCAGCGACTTTGGAAAGTGTAATACCAGTTCTGAGTTGGGCCTGGTCATAAACTGTGCATCCTGGACTCTGTTCTGTACAGACCCACCAATAAAACTTGTCCTGGCTGGAAACACCATTCTGACTACAATTTTCTTAAGCGCAGTTTTTTAAAGAGATAACTTTCTTATTATTTTTAACTTCACTAAGTTGTGGTCTCTGGATTACAGCGCTAAAACTGGATACCCTAAATTAATATCCAGTTCCTTCTTAAATTGCATGGTAATAGGCTATAAGATTCATCAAGAATTCAGTTCCTATAATTTGACCAAAAAAACAGCCTGCAAAATCTAGTCAACATTCAAAATTATGAACTGAAATAAAATGAAGGTCATACCTTAATGGATACTTTGTGCTTGGTGAATGATCGACTTTTTAAAAGCTGGTAAATACAGTGAATAGGTAAAAACCCAGTAATGTTGGCACTGAGATTGCCTGTAACAGGCACGCGAACTGCGTGGGCCGTAACAACCTAAAGGAAAGTTATAATTAACAAGAAAAATACCAACTTATCGCAACGCATAAGCACAAGGTGACAAAGTCGCACAGCTACATTCTTTCTGGAGTTTACTTATTTTTGGTTGTTTGAAAGCAGAAGAATATTTTTTAGGTAGTTTAATACAGTATGTGTAAAACTGTAGCACACGTACTACATTTGTGAACGACTTCCTGCTACTGCAAAAAATAATGTCATAGTGGACAATTTTTCTCCTTTGCTTCCCCATTATTTAAAAAAGCCAAGTGTTCAAAAAGCGTAATCAGATCTGAGTACAAAAAGAGCGAGCCAAGGCTCTTCAGTACCAGCAGGACTTGGATTCTTCTTGTAGGTCAAACTGAAGCAATCCTAGAAGAAAGAAAGAAAAAAAGAAAGAAAGAAAGGAAAAAAAAAAAAAAGGAAAAAGAAAAAAAAAGAAAAAAAGATCCAGGTTTAAAATACCTGTTCAGTGAAAATCTCCTGTGTGAAGATTGTCTTCATCCTGCTGAGTGAGCTGGGCTTAATAACAATCTGAAACAAAGACAAAGTACTTGTAATTTTCAGTTCTAGCTTTCTTATAAATAACAACTGCAAATTTACTTTATAAACTGTTAACTTCTAACCTTTTTAAACTTGTCTTCACTGAGATACCAGGGAAACACTCACATCTATACTTCAAACGTAGAACAAAAATATTTTCAAATATCACAAGTTCATTACTCCACATCTTCCTTATCCTAAAAACTACCTACCTTTTACATTCGATGAACCATTGTTTCACAATAGCAAACTGAAGGCAAGTCTCCCTCAGTTATTTTCAGAAATTAATTATTACATACACAGATATTTCTTTAGATTATTTAAAATAAAAAGTCTGCATCTCAGTTTGAAACCTACTTCAATTAGTCTTCTAAAAAAGTTCATTTCTTGCAAATAATGATTTCAACAAGTCAGCACTTTTTGAAGATACTTTTTATCATCACATTCCTCTGTATCAAGAGGTATGCATAATGTTTCTCTAGAGGAACTAATTTACTTAGCTATCCATTTTTTTACTTTACATTTGCTTTAAGTACATTAGCAAAACCATAGTTCTTTATATCAAAACTAAAGTAAATACAATAATATAAATACACAGTAAAAAGTTAATTTTAACAAAGAAATGTATGTGCTAGAAACAGTTTAGGATTTACCTTCATTCCCAAGGTGGAGCAGACCAAATCAATGATAGCACTGAGCTGATTACTATGGAAATACATGGCTACCAGGAGAAGCATCTCTCCAAAAGAAGCAGACACACCAGAAATGCTAATGATAACAAAGAGGAAGAGTTAATTTCCAATAGGGCGTAAATAAATGTGAGATTACTGGACTCATTAAAAACAAAAGAAGCCTCCTCTCACCTTTCAAAGTAAGCTTCTTCCTTTATCATCCAACTAAGCCACATTACCATGAGTTGCTCCTGTTCCGGGGTGCTGCACAAAAAAAAATAATCCATAAAAGATCCTTTTCGCAGGAACTACCATCAGTTTTAGTAACAATTACTAGCAGAGTCTTGTCACTTTCACTTTAGCATCAAACAGCTGATAAGCACTGACATTTAGCACAAACTTCAGTCCAATTGTCAGACAATTTCCTGTCTTGAATGCACGCAGCAGAAAGCTACATCCGTTAAATATCTATATTGCTACTCTTTTGAACAGGGTCTCTAAAGAATTTAGCCATAAATTTGTTCAACAGAAAAGTGAATTAGTAAGGCCTACTTTAGCCTTCAAAAACCACTCCAAACTAAGCTAATGCCAATGCTCCCCTCTCAAAAGATTTGCTATGAACAAGACAGGGAGCAGAGTGGAATATCAATTTACTCACGATAGTGTGAGACAAATCCCTTCAATCAACATACGGACAACTCTTTGTATAAAGAATTAGGAGAGAAAAACTGTGCAGCTCTGTGGAGGTCATTGCCTTAACAGTGCTAAGAGTAACATCTTTACAAAGCTCCCCCTTTATTGAGAGGTACCTGACAAGAGTGGAGAAGGCCAGAAGCATACAAAAAGAAAGAGATACAAAGCGAACGCCAGCTGGAGTTGCGGGAGGCCGGCTGGTCATTAGCTGCAGTAGCTGCTCAGCTTCTTCATCAGTTGGCCTGAGTAGGACACAAAAAGAACAAAACCCACGCTGCTAATTTAAAAGTGAAGAGATTTCCAATCTCATCACAATGGTTAAAGATTAAATTTTCTCTGTTATTTAATCTGTTTATCAAGTTGCTATCAATAAATGAGTATCAAGATTAGCTGGTAATTCTCCTTGAACTTAAAGACATAAAAATCTCTGTTAAGAGAGAATAACGGTGAGAAAACTTCCCCAGGACATAATCTTGCCTATTAGTAGAAAACACATTTAAACTAACAGTCCATAAAAGATGCCACATTAGCACTCTCCAAAAAGTAAAAGTAAAGGAACAGAAATTCAAAATTCATAGTGTCTGTTGCGAGAGTTTTCACTTGCTTTCTCTTGTACACACGGCTCCAACCACTTAGGCCTACACTTCTAACAAGTCAGTAGAATTGATTTTGCAGCAAAGACAGCATCACATTTCTTGCATTATTTTAGATTTTTTTTAAAAAGCAAAGTTGATAAACGGATCTTTACAATTAGAATGAAAAAAATTTTCTGCTCAGAATAGTACTGGAAAGTAAAAAACACACCTGTCTCCAGAGACCTTAGTATTACAGAATATTTGCTCTCTGCACTATAAAGATAAAGAAACTTCCATCAACTGGCAACTCCAGCCCTCAGCACGTGAGGAGGGCCTCCCCTAGTACCAAAAGCGGTGAGTCTTGCCAAGACTGTTTCAAGGACACAATGGCATTAAGAGACAGCTCACGTTAAAAGTGCCCAAAGCTCTCAACCTCTGTTTAATTGGACAGAGAGCAAATAAAAAAACACAGAGCATTAAAACATTCATTACTTCAGGCCAGCAATTCCCATCAAAGCGCAATAGAGACGTAACAACGCGCTGGCTTTCACAACATGCTCCTCCTTCAGTCCTGAATACACAGACACATTTGGCTCCAGATCAACATCTGCTTCTTCAACAATGTGTGTGCTGCGAACCGTGGGAAGGATTCCCATGAGCTCCAGGAGCAGCTGCCTCCTCATTTGCCAAAGCACAGAACTGATATTATCTCTTTTTCTCTGCATAAAAGGTTAAAAGATGAGAACGACAATGTAAAATTCACCCCATCGTACAATGTATTACATAAGAGCTTCCATAATGATGAAGTCAAGGAAAAAAACAGAAGCAGTGGAGAAGAGGAATTTTTTTAAAATATAATTTTCAGTACCAAGGCAACAGGCAACCCTTGATCATAATACAATAGCTTATTACATCAAAACACAAGCTTTGACTTACTCAATGAAGCAAGTCAAGACACAGTTTCCTATTGTGAACGCTGAGGATGAACATATCCACCAGGTAAACATTACGAACTCACAATTCCCTGGTTTCCACGCCTACAAATCTCTCAGAGGAACAATCAAATAGCTGCCTTCAGGGACGCTATTTATAGAACTGATGGTCCCACAAGAAGAGGTTGCCTTGTAAAGGTTGCTCCACAACATGCAACAGGACTTACATGCATTCAGACAAATATGGGTGCCTACATCCAGAAGGTTTACAGCAAGCTATAATATTTTTTTAAAAGCAGAACATTCAAAGATTTTCATACCTGTTGCCCATTTCGGATAAAAGTTCCAAACCAAGTTCGAACCTTTGCATTTGTTCCAAGTAGCAAACCACTCACAAAACACACCAGGTCACTCACTCCATCATCTGAAGATTCATTTTTGGTGTGATCCAAGGTCAAAGCCACACCAAGACCTGGTAGGTGACACTCTTCCACCTAGATAAAATGCTCAGGCTCAATCATCTTTGTTGTTTTTAAAGTTCCAATAAGGATAATAATTATGATTCTCATGACAGACTAATGACAGACTTACCACCATGCCTCGGACCCTTAGAGCTTGGGAAGGATTCATTTTACACAGGTGGCGAAGTGCTTCTGTTCTACGACGGCCTCCAACACTTTCCTCGTCCTGCCGTTCACCGTTCTTAATCAAACCTCTACAGACTAAATGTCCAGCAGAAGGTGTAAGTAAATCTGGCCTTTCCAACAGAAAGCCACATAAACACACAAAGTCAAGGCATTCTGTTCAGCTCACTGTGATTTATTACTTGCCCAGACAAGGTTTGTGTGGCCCAAGAACTCATGATCTATGCTGTATAAGCAGAACAAGGAAATGGTCTTTCTCCTCAGAGAAATTACAGGGTCATTACAGACTTATGCATCATCCAATTACTACTCGTACTCTATCTAATGTAACCTGTGCATCTGGCAGCCCTGGAGGCTGAAATCTTATTGCGAGGTAAGGGATGCTAAACAGGCAATGTCAATACAAACTTTTGACCTCGTAATATGTTTCAGTTTAAGGGACAAGAACGATTAGCAAGGTTAGACCAGGTTCGTAGTCCCAGTCACTCGCTGCCCGAGTCAGCCTTTATAAAGGTGACCTACAGGTGAAAAGCTGCAACATGTACACAAGGAGTCTACAAGTAAGCTGCAAAAAAGGGGAATCAACATGATGAGAATGGGAGCCCATTACCATCTCTAGGAATAAATGCATTCAAATTATATTTCATAAGCCAAATGGTCTCCCGTTCAAATATTTATGACACATGGTTTAGTCCAGAATTAACTACATTGCTAAAATCATTTCAAACCTTTAGAAAAAAAAAAAGCTGGACAAGAAGAAACTGTAACTCACCCTCATTAAAGCTATCAGGAACGTTGGCCACCAGAAGGCAGAGGAACCAGGCTCCATTTTTAACGTGCAGCAGAGCTTCAGCCACATCAACTATCGGCAACAGCGATGGTAGCTCTGGATAAAAAGAGGGTTTTAAAAGTCAGTGTTTCACTGTCAAACAAATAAAACCTTGCTTTTAATATGCATTTAAATAACACACTCAAATCAATCAATGGAAAATCAATCTATGTTCTATTCCTCTTTCAGAGCTAGAAAGCCTAGATTAAGCTTAAATCAGTCACAATGGCGCCAAAAGTTATTTTGATACATTTGTGGGAGGTTAGAAAACACTGTAAATACAGAATACTACACCTGCTTGTAAAATGCAGAGAACATCTGCTGCCTCTTCCAGATAAACAGGACTCTCGAAGAGCTCAGATGACTTGAGAAAAAACTCACCGTTTGATTCTGACACCTACAAGACATGATTCATCATCACTGAACAGGTTTTATGAAGCAATTTGTCTAATCAGTCTTCTATGGCTTTAAATTCAGCAGATTGAATACATCAGAAATTGTCCAAAATGTACAGCTATAACCAGAACAGCCAATAAAAGTGTTTAGAATAAGAAATATTTATTAGTGGAAACACTTCAATATGGCTGGAATCATTACTTCTTTCCAGAAGAAAGAAAAATAGCTCACTGACAATTCTGAAAACATGGTAAGTTTACACAAGGAAAATAAAATGCTGGGGCGGGTGGCAAGGAAGGAGAGTAAGAGAAATACAGTGGCTGATACCATACTGTAATAGGAGAAAAGAACTGGATGAAGACAAGTCACAATTTCATTTTCAAATATGATTTCTGCACTGATGTATCACAAAATCACATTACATTTGAGTACAGCATATTACAGAGTATACAGAGTCTGCATCATATTAGAAAAGATGACCCTCGTTTGTTGTGATGAAGAAGGACTTCCTCTAGGAAGCTGGGGTCATAAGGAGTTTAATCACATGCCACTGTTCAATCAGACTGAGACTTTAAGTCTTGGTGAAGCAGGTAAGAACTGGAGAAGAGTACTCACGCACATCAGCAGCACCAGGAAAGGAACCAGAACCAGACAGCATAGCAACCTATCCAGAGAGCATTTTCACTGACATAAAATTCGCAAGCATCCAGCTATGGAGAAATTTACCTTATTCATAATTGCTAGTAATTCACTAAGTACAAGACGAAGCCGACGAGGCGAATCGCTGTGTTCAAATTCCAGTGTCAGCCCATGCTGAAGCTGTGACACCAAGATGCTTTCCCCACTACCTCCTCCTAGCTTGTGCCTAACAGACAGTTAAACACAAGAAGCATTAAATGTTTCTGTAAACACAGAAATTCTATCAGTTAGACAGTAATTCTGTAGGGATTTCTTCTATCCTATCAATAATCAGAAAAGACTGTTGCAACTGTGGTACCTCATGAAATCTAACTCGGCAGATTATCAAAATTTCAAGGACCTCTGTT